CGGTTCAATCCCGAAGAGTGGTGGACTCCACTATAAAGAAATAATATAAAGAAGATCCGGTTAGAACCCGAAGAGTGGTTAAATCCCACTAGTAAAATTAATACATAAAGATAAAATACCTTAGTGACGCATCGTAACAACATTAATATAAATCTAAGAATTAATAATATCTAAAATATAATTATTTAATAAAATAAAAATAACTATTCAATAAAAATACTAATAAATATAGTTCAATAATTAATATATTCATTATCCAATAAAATTATTCATTAAATATTATATTATAATAATATTAAAAGATAAATATTTATTATAACATAAATAAAATATATTAAAATTATAAATAATTAAAAATTTTTTAAATTTATATAACTTTTTAAATATTTATTTTAAATATTAATTATTTTATATCAATTTGTAGTTCTAGTTATAATCTACAACTTTATTTAGAATATTATTAAAATTTTTTCAAAATTCTAATTATATTCTTAAATAAAAATTAAATTAATTATATAATAACTTAAATTATATGTTCAGAATCTTAACTTTAATTTTAACTTAAATTTTAATTAACTAATTAAAATATAGTTATTATAATAAAAAATAGTACATTTACTCAAGTATATTAATATAAATTTTGATATACTTATATTATTTATATTATATATTAATACAAATTTTTGCTTATATTATTTAATATTATATATTAATACAAACTAATATTTTAAATTATTAAACAAAAAAAATATGAATAAGTTATTAAACAAAAAAACTTAACTAAATTAAATTTTAAAAAATTAATTTAGTTAATTAACAAAATTATTAACTAATTATTATTGGTTAATTAATTTAATAATATAGATTTTCAAGATAATAAATTTTAATAAAATAATATAAAATTAAGAATTTTTAAAAATTATAATTTATAATTCAAATAAAATTCTCATTGATCAAATTATAGTCAAATTAAATAACTATTAAAGTTAGCTTTTTTTGTATAATTTTTTTCTATTAAATTATAATAAAACTTGGTATAGTTAAATTTCTCTATAATTACATTCATTTATAATTATATCTCTCTATAATTATCTAATTTTGCTTTTCTGAGAGTAATAATTATAGAAAAATTTGACTGTATAAAAAAAAAATAAAAAAATAAAACTTGTTGTTTTACTATACAAATAATAATTATTATAAATATATTTATTTATTAAATAGGTATTAATTTGAGTTATATATTTTGAATTAGATCAGATTAAAATTAAATTCAACTTGAAATATTTTGAATTAGTTTAAAAATTATTATTTCTTATTTAATATTAATTCAAATTAAATAAAAATTTGTAAATTTATATTTTATATAAATCACAAAAATAAGTATCTCAGTAAAAATAAAAATTATTAATAAAAAACTATTTGATAATTTTTAAATCAAATTTAATTCAAATTATTAATTCAAATTAATTTCAAATTTGATTCAATTCAATTTAAATAAAGCTTTAATTAGAGTTTTTATAGTTATTATATTATATAAAAATTATATTATAATTATATTTTTTTAAAATTAATTATAATCAATCTTTTTATATTTATTATTTTTGAAAAAACAAAATTGAATAATTATAAAAAAATATAATTATAAAGTGATTTTTTATTATATTTATATATAAATAGAAAAATAAAATAAAATAATTACAAAGAAATATAATTATAAAAAGATTTAATTATAAAGTAACAATAAAAAATAATGCAACAATATTAAAATTTATTAATTAAATATAATAAAATGTGAATTTTTCTCTTTATATAAAATTTTTCAATTTTATTAATAAATACTTTTTATTTTACATTAAAATAAAGATAATATCACATATTTAACATATATTTTTTTCAGATTTTTCAGATTTAATATGATCAAGTTGTTCTAATTGCATATAAAATTAATTATTTTTTTTATAATTAAAATATATAAAAAAATAATTAACTTTATTTGTAATTAGAATAACTTGATCAAATTAAATCTGAGAAAAATATATATTAAAATATGTAATATTGTTTTTATTTTAACATTAAATTGAAAAATTCTATATAAAGAAAAAAATTCACATTTTATTATATTTAATTAATAAATTTTAATATCATTGCATTATTTTTGATTGTTACTATATATATTTTAATAACAAATTTGATTATTTATTTTATTATTATATATATCAATAATTATATTTTTTAGTTTATAATTAAAAATATTTTAATAAATAAAAAATTCAAACTATAATTATTATTTAAAAGATATATACTTATATAAAATATTGTTCTATAAATTTAATAAAATCAAACCTAGATATAATGAATCTGGATAACTGAAATTGGCTTTGAGTTATAATAAATTTATCTTGACAAATTGAATTTAATAATAAACTGAATTTTATAAAGTTTTTTACTAACAAATTAAACACTTTGTTATATCCAGATTTGACTATAATTTTATATAATAGCTTACAAAAGTAATGCATCACTTTCAAAAATTTATTATTAAAACATAGTAAAATTCTATTTTCATCAAAATATTTTAAATTTTATTTATAAAACTTTTTATTTTTATATCAAAATAAAGATCATAATCTATATTTTAATATATAAATTATAATCTTTATTTTGATATAAAAATAAAACTATTAAAATTTTTAATGAAAATAAAATTTTCAATTTTACTATATTTTAATAGTAAATTTTGAAAGTGATGCATTACTTTGTAAGCTAAATTTCAGTAAAATACATAATTACCACAAACATCAACGTCTAAAAATAGGATCAACACAAAGAATCTACTAATCCAGGTTTCGAAGTGAGTTGGTTTCTTTTTGATCACCGAAGCTTTGAAAACCAATCTATCAGCCGCGAAATTTCAAAATACGAAAGACAACTTTCTGAAGCTGAAGATTTGGATCCCATACTTGTCGTTGCAACAAATCAAAATTTGATCAGCCAACACGCTAGTCATGGATATTTCCGCAACCCATAACCTCACGTGGAGATAAAAACTCCCATTGTATTTTCCATTTTAGGAATCTTATGCTGTGAGTGATGGTATTGACAATCAGAATCTTGCTCCAAATGCATTCTGTGTTCCATTTCTCTTCGTGCTCAGCAGCCTCATAGTCGATTAGAAGAGCTTGGGTCCTTATGAAAGTAGGAGTATTGGAGAAGATACGCAATTTTTTGAAATCACATTACCAAAACTTCAAAGTTTAGTTTCTTTTGCTATCGCTATGAGATTATAATCAATAGCGCTTACCTAAATAAATTAACGACAGAAGATTTTAAGAGCCGTGAAATAACAATAACAAAAGCTCATTGCAAAAATATTGTAAAATCTAATATATGTAATAACGAAACTACACAATATCTTTTACACCAATGAACTTTGTTTACTCTGTCTGAAATCATAGGCCTTTGTCATTATCGTTGTCAGTGTTTATATCATTGTCAATGTCTATATTAGTGTCATTATTACATGCATTACGATTATTTTTGTCGGAAGTCGCTTTCTTTACTTCTTTTGATTATATCGAGGATTTTACAACGAGGGAAAAATTAAAATACATATACATTCTATTGACTTTTTACACGCGTAATTTTTTACATAAAATTGAAATTTACACGCATAAATTTTTTTTTACATAAAAGATTACTTTTACAAATCAAGCTCTTTCACGCTTGCATGGCCGGCATTTTTATTAAACATATCTGTCAGTTTCATTATCATTATGATGATGAGGATGATGATGATAGCTTTCCACTTTTTCAATAACGCTGAGAATCCTAGGTTGTCTTCTATAACCCCATAATAACCAAATGATCAATTCGGCTAATAGTAAATTCGGGAAGTAGAAAAGCCAACCTGCAATATTTAGATGAGCGGAATTTTCCGCGGCTAGAGCAGAAGAGAACAATGGGATTACATAGATACGATATAATCCACTCCCGATGGCCAAAGCAAGTGTTCGTACAGCCCATCGTTTATGTCGATCAAAATCTCGTTTACGCGCATAATAAAATGTTAATAGGGCGGAAAAGAGAAATAGAAAACCGTAAATTGAGAATGACACGCTCATTTGTATTCCACCCACAGTGCCTCGGGTAAACACATAAAAAAGGCCACCAATGCTAGCACATATTGATCCCAAAATTATTAGACGTCCACTATAAATGTGAAATTTAGCTGCCCGTTGACGAATTACCGGTAGAAATTGTAATGTTACTAATTAGAAAAAAAAGAGGTGAGAATAATGCATAAGGATAAAGCGAATCATGTAATAATAAATGTAATAAATACATACTCAATACATTAACAAGAATTCCCCCTACCCAATGTAATCCGATAAAAAAAGCACCGTAACCAGTTGCGCCAAAATTTTCAATCGATTTCCATTTATGATACGGATGCGACAAAAATTTCTTAATTATATATAACGAGAATCCAAGACCAAGTAACACGAGGATTACCCAAAAGAAATATGCAGATATTAACAGTAGACTTCGAATTATCGGGGAAGAAATATTTATTGGACGTTTTTTATGTTCTATTTCTTCTTCAGCCAATAACTGTAGCTGAAATGTATTTGGAGTGGAAGGTACATCTCCAGATAATGAATGGTCAACATTCACTCTGGCAATAATTGGATTTATCGTTTTATTATTTTTCTTGGTAGTATTAGTATTAACTCCATCAATAGTAGTAGATTTTCCAACGGTGTTATGCATTTTCCTGAAAAATTCTGAGCGTCTTTTGACGGCTGGAAAATAGGAAAAGAAAAGAAACAGAGCCGTTTTATACAAAAACTCACTTTGAATTAATTTACCAAATTCATAAAACTTCAAAGAGCTATATATTTATTTGTGCTCATAACAAAAGAAATTATTTTTATCATTGTTGATAGCACAAAGTAATATACGCGCATAGTTTCACAATTTAATTGTCAATATAGGAAAACAACGGAAATGATGTTGATGATAATAAGAGTAAGGTAATATAATATAAGATAGTTTTGTATTCAGTCTTGAATCTTTTTGTTAACAACCTTCTTGAGAAGGAAGAGTGATTCTCTGTGAAATTTCAAAGTTTAAAATTAAGAAAAGATATTGAAATTCATTGATCACTAACGATTTCCACGAAAAAAGGTTCATGTACAGTGCATCTTAATTCAGCTTGAAACAGCACACGTCTCCGTATCGTCGATCTCTATTTTTCAATTGGTTGGTTTATACACGTTTTGGGGGGGGGGGGAATGGCAGATATTAGCTAATTAATATCTATTACTATAGACTACCCTCCTGAGATATGCACAGGATATCATACCGGCATGAATTTTATTGAACCTGAGATCTTTCCATATGCTAATACCTGTCACTCCCCTTAATTTGCCGTCGATTATCATTTTTTAAAGCAGTCAATTATTATTCCATATTACTATCATTCTGGTTGATACTCCTTCGGTTATCATAATATTTTTATTTTTGATCTTGTCTTGGTCTAACCTATACAAGCTCGTGTATGTTTGTCAAATCTTAGCAAGAAATTTTTGTGAATTCTCTTTAGATTTAGATAGCGCAAAAGGACCGATCTTCTGTAGCATGACGGGAAAACAAGAAAATCATAGACTCACTTGTGATCATCGTTTTTTTTTTGCATTTTTGAATAGCGTTATCTGTTCTTTGACTTTGTTCCGGCTGCTAATAAGTCAGATAAGGATATTTCGTTCTTAAAGGCCCAATGACAAAATTATCAATCAAAAAAAATACACAAGGTCTTGATTGACCTCTTTCTTTCTGTTGATAACACGGAATTACGTTTAGCTCCAGCTTTGTGCTCTTAATTTCAAAAATAAAAATTAATAGATTGCAAAGTATGGAAAAATAAGCTTGCGCTTGTAAGCGATTTACAATTAGTTTTATTCAAGCTCAACCTTGACTTTAACTTCTTGTGATTCTAAGCTCCGTTTGCATAATCCTAAAGGATTAATTTAAACAAAATCAATATAAATGAAATCATTTAATAAAGATAAAATTAATGACAACGAATCAGCTATGCATTTTGTAAGCAAAATTGGAATTTAAAGAGCTATTTCTCCTACAAGTGATAGCGGATAGTCGGGATATTTCTTTCCCTTCTTTATATTTTCAAGTCAGTTAAAGAATTTGAACAGTTTTTTTACAAACTTACCTTAACAAACAATGCACCAAGGATTATACCATGGGACAATATATTAGATCCTTTCGAACTTGTGGTAGACGTTAGTGGTACTTATCTAGAGATGCGAACCTTATTTAAATATTTAATGACCCATCATTGCCTCCCGTTAATATACTTCTATTGCAGCAAATTTGAGAAACCAACAGGCATATGTGATGTGTCTTCACATACTGTAAACAATTACGGTATGGCCGGTGTTGTGTGTTTGATACTTCTCTTTAGCAGCACTCGGTTTTTTTTGAAATGCTGTAAAGGAAATGATGCAAGTTCAATGTCTAAACGCGCGTAATACCACACAACTTTTAGATATTGTACGTGTACGTGATTGGTTGATTTATTGATGATCCTTATTTGGAAACGCGACTCCAAAGATCAAAGATAGAAACTCAAGGTACATAGATATTTAGACAACGGTCTTGTCTTTTGAAGCCTGGTGAGACAGACATCTTTCAATAACCCGTTTTCTGGTCTATGTTTGTCTAAAACGTCAGGCAAAAAAACACCCAAAGAAATCATGGCGCGTGGTAATGCCACCTCAAAATGTTCTCCAAATACGAAGGAAATAAAGCCAAGTACGGAATTTTACCCTGAAGGTAAGTCTTTTAATTGCCGAAAAAAATACCTTGAGTTGTCTAATCCTTTTTTTTCAAAGAACGCGCTAACTCGTCTTCGGAGCAAGAATTCTTTCCCTGGACTAACGCGACGCCGCCCCCGTTTGTTTTGATTTGTGATGTTTCGGTGAATATATTTAGTATGTTTGCTTTTCAAATTCCCTGCAAGAGTTTTACCATGTCGTTTTTTCTTAGCAAATATTACGAGCCAATATGGATAGTCTAAGCAATAAAGAAGAAACCGAAAATGCTTGTAATAATTCACCACTACTACAGATGGAAGGGTAAATTTCGAGTTCGTTTCCTAAAATTTAACATTAGTTCCTTAAATTTTAGACAGTTAATTCACTATTATGTTCATATAATTCAGTGAGGGGATTGAAACCATTCGTAAACCAAGCTTATTCAGTTCCCAAGTTACGGAAACTGAACAAGATATAATTGACAAACGCGTCGCCTTGCAACAACGTCAGGTAATTTTAGCATTCCCAAGGCATAACGAATTCGTCGTTATTTCCAATTAATATAATGATCAATTTTTTTAGTATGCTGAATTCGAACGACGTGAATTTGAAAGAAAATCCCGAAAAATTCGAGCCGTTTTCGAATTCTTATCGGATGAAGAAATTAAGGAAGCTTTGCAAGATTGTGATAATGACGAGGTACAATTGAATGATGCCTTTTTCTCGATAAAATATCTTTGTACTAATTTTCCGAGATTTGTCTAATAGGAAGAAGTCATTGTTAGAATGACACAGCCCGGGTACTTGGTCTACACTCGCAAAACGATTGCTCAAAAGTATCACGGACCAACTCTCAGTAAGCGTTTTAATTAATAGGCACAATTTATTTTGATAAACAAAAAAGCTTGATTTCGATATTTCGTAATTCATAGCAAATCACATGTCCGAAGAACAAAAGGAGGCATATGAACAACTTTTGAAAAAAAGAAAGGAAACTCTCAAGAAAACCACCGGTGAAATCGCAAAAAAGTAAATCATTTATATTAATCAATAGTCTTTGCCGAAATTCGTCTCTTGTCATATACACTAACCTCCTTTGTAGACAATATCGTATGAAGGGGCGCCTTGCATTAGATGATGCTTTGAAACAAGTTCAAGATAACAAGAAAGATCTCGAGAAAGCCTTTGAGGGTTGGTCAGAAGCTCGCATTAAAGCATTCAATGCAATTGATAGTAAGCCGAACACCTATTATTATCGATTTAATGCGCCGGGTGAAATACAGAAAAAAGGGCAATGGACAAAGGTACTACCATCGTCATCACTGCTTAGTGAATTGCTTACATTTGAATTTTAATGTGTATATTAATATTCAATAGGAGGAAGAGGCTTTGTTTTTTGCTCGACTTGCAGAAATTGGTGCAGATGGCCAATGGGGAATATTCTCAATGGCTATTCCTGGTCGTGTTGGTTATCAGGCATGCAAACTATTCATCATTGCTGTACTTGGTGCATTATTGTAGATTTACCAGAAATTAAGCCAACAGTTTGATTATTCAATTTTATAGTGTTCAAATTTCTATCGATTATTGATTGAAACAGGACGCCTCAAGGATCCGAACTACGTGCTCGATGAGAAAGGCAAAGCTCATTACTTGTTCAATACTAAAAATAAAATAACTGGCGAAACGGAAAAGACCTTTAGGACTCATAGCAAACATGGTGGAGGCTCTGCTCCTCGACCCCCTAAGACCTCAACATCTAAAAGTACCACCAAGTCAACTCCTATGAAGAAAAGACGAAAGAGAAGCAGTCACTTTAACAGTGATGATGACTCTGGTGACGATTTCGATTTTGACGATTCCGGCAGCTATACCCTCAAATCATGGAGTGGAACTAAACGAACGAGAACACGAGGCACTACAAATCAAGATGTCGAAATGCCAGATACCATTGATCCTAATTCCAATCCCCTCCCAGGATTTGTCGATCCCATCACACTGGAAGAAGTTATCAAGCCAGCCATCTCTCCTTATGGACACGTTATGGGGTTGATATATAGCGATTTAAAACTTACATCCATTATTCATATGAATTCATGCTGAATTTTCATTTTTTTCCTTCAAAATAGTTACGATAGCTGGGTTCGATGTCTCTCTTCGAACACACAAAAGAATACTTGCCCATTAACCAAAAAACCTTTAACCAAACGGGAACTCGTTATTTTGACTAAGGATAATATTGATGAATTTCGGTATTAATTTTTTTTCTATTTTTTCTCACTATTAATTTTAAGATTATTATTAACATATTTGTATTTTCACTTTCTAGCGATAAAATAGTGAATCAAGGGTTGTAAATAAATATTTAGAAACCAAAATTGATCAACGAAAATCCTCAACTTCTAAACCTTTCTTAGCTTGCAACAAGATCTCAATCTGCCACGGTGGGAAAGGAGTCAATGTATCATACTCTTGACATGCGGTTGCAAAAGCTGATGTGTCATAGGCGTTTATTGATTCAATTAATTTCTGTCCCAACGAAAAAAAAAATATTTTTAAAATGTAAATATTTTAGAGATCAATAAATTTCCTTTTTAGTGTTATTGGTACCTTAATTAATTTAGATTCTCTACTATCCACAAAAGAAGGATAAAGTTGACAAAGTTCCTCATACTGTTTTTCGACCCTAATCCAATCACGTAGAGCAATCAAACAAACACATTGAAGAAAACAATAGTCTTTTACTTTAAAACTTAAAACTCGATCGTTAGCCGCGGTGGCAATCACATTTTCTAATATTTTAATAGCTTCTTCGTATCGACCCAATTCAGCCATCAATTCGATTTGAGAGATTAACGAGAAAAATTGACGGCTAATAAACCAGTATACGAATGTGTAAGCGATTGATTTGAATAATCAATTATAAATAGAAAATTTGACATATACTTGTCACCTTCCCTTTCAAATAACTCCGCTGCTTTTTGATGCATCTATAAAGGGAATAAAATAAAAATTAATGCATCTGTAATTTAAATTATTAAAAAAAAAAAGATAACTAACCGTGAGGGCTTTTTGCAAATCAAGTTGAGCACTTGTTTTATTTTCATATAGTTTTGCCAATTGTTCGTATACACGAGCAGCACGAGTTACATGTTTATCATGAAACTCGTATATCGATGCAGCAGTCTCTAGCGCTTGAAGAGCTTTAGCTAATAAAAGAATATAAACTCGATCATTATTTCGGAAAGATGATTGATAATATTGCAATTGATGTATCATTTATTACCAGTTTGTTTGGTCTGCTGAAAAGCTAAATAAGCATTTTCATAGCAGCCACCAGCCTCAATTTGATTATGATCATCACCCACACTTTGAAATCGTTTCGCGGCTGACAAGTAATGTTTTGCAGCAGATTCGTCTTTTTTTTACGTAGGAATTAGCATAATCATCACCACCAAGCCAATGAATCATTACCATAAATCAATTAGTTTTATTGTTAAGAGAAATCTCTTTTTTATACCAATTAAAAACTCACAATCACGCGCTCCTTTTGCTTTAATAGCTTGATTCTTTTCATTAGTGGCCAAATTTTCTAACGACTGCATCTCAAGTCCTTCTCTACTACCACTACTGCTACTACTACCACCACCACCCAAAAACCACCCGCCAGTAGTTTTTTTAACTTTATTATCAACTAAAATAACCTGACTTAAGACAAACCAGACACCAAAAACCCCGAGATAAGTGGCGCTACCGTCTCCTAAAGTAACTATGCTGAAACACAAGTAATCGTCGCGTTTAAATTCTGGAACACGAGGTTTATTACTTAAAATGCCAGTGATAAAAGAAGAAATTGCGTTCGATTGATTTTTTTTATTCTTGTTGTCGGACGTAATATAGCTACCGAAAGAGATATTATCGGGATTTGTTTTATACGCTGCATAAAGAAATACAGAAAATAATAGCCACCCAAGCATGATTAAAGAAGCAAGTTGGAATTAATTTTCACACTAAATCGAAGTAAATAGCTGATCTACAACTTGATTCATGAAAAAAATGTATGAATAAAAAGATTTATTGTAACAACTGTTATTGGCTAATTAGAACCTGTGTTAGGATTAAGATTCTGAATATGTGATTGGTTTCTATTGTAATACCTAGTGCACAAAATTGTCTTTAAATTAGTTGGTAAATATTCTAAACCGTGATCAATTTTGGCGTTAGAAATATTCAAGCATTCTAATTTAGCCAAGTTTTTTAAGAAAGTTGTTACAATTAAATTGATCCCAATTAATCGATAAAAAATTCTATATTACTTTATAATCAAAAATATTTATTAATAAAAATAATATACAATTATATACAGTGACTAACAGAATTATGGAATCATGCGTGCAATTTTATTAATAAAACATAGTAAAAATTGAAATTTTTGTCTTATATAAAAGTTTTCAATTTTATTAATAAATATTTTTTATTTTATATTAAAATAAAGACTATAAGTTATAGTTTAACATATATTTTTTTTGGATTTTTAGATTTTTTTCTGATAAAGTTGTTCTAATTGCAAAGTTATTGCAAAAATTAAAATGTAAAATTAATTATAAAAATTTTTGCAATAACTTTGCAATTAGAATAACTTTATCAGAAAAATCTAAAAAATCCAAAAAAAATATATGTTAAAATATAATTTATAATTTTTAGTTTGATATAATTCAGTACAAAAATATTTGTATCTTAAATAAATATTAATAAATTATTTTTTAAAATACAAGTTTAATTATATCTTATTTAATTAAGTTATTAAATATTAAAATTTATTTTAGTATATAGTAACTCAAAATTGTGAAATTATGCATGTAATTTATTAATAAAATTGCATGTATAATTTTATAATTTGAGAGTTATTTTATATAATAATAAGCAAAAATAATACAATGCAAAAAATTTATTAATAAATATAGTAAAAATACAAAAAATATGAATTTTCTTTTTATATAAAAGTTTTTGATTTTATTAATAAATTTTTTAAACTAAAATTAATATTATATATTTTAATATATATTTTTTTCAGATTTTTTAGATTTAATTTAACAAAGTTGTTCTAATTGCATATAAAATTAAGAATAAAATATATAATGTCATTAAGTTATAAAGTTTCTATTTAAAAATTAATTAAATTATTTAATTTTTAAAAATCAAGTAATTTGATTAGTTCTTATAATGCAAAAAGATTCATACTTAAATAATTATTAATAAATTATTTTTTAAAATAAAATTTTAATTCTATTTTATTTAATTAAATTATTAGATATTAGAATATATTTTAATTATATATATTTTATAAAAAAAATTTTTACTAGTAATAACTTTTTTGAATTCTTATCTCATAAATTTTAATATATAAAATTTGATTAAAATTAATATTAAATATATATAGTAATAATTTAATTGTTAAACTTTAAGACTTAATTTCACAATAATTATTAATTTAATCTTTATGAAATTTAAAATATATTTTTATTAAATCTATAGCAATATGATTGTATAATTTGAAATTCTAATATAGCAAATTGATAAAAATAAAACTTAAAATATATTTTTTAAAATAAAATAATTTTTTATTTTGTTTTTTAGAAAAGTATTACATTATCTATTTTTAAATAAAAGTATAAAAGAATAAAAATTAGTTAAATTCTAAATAATTTTTATTAGAAGTAATTATTAATTTTTATTTTGAGATATAAATCTTTTTGTACTGAATCATATATGAAAAATTTATAATTTAATAATAACATTGTCACAAGTTCTGGGCTCAGGTAGGTAATCTTGTGACATGAATATTTAATCAATATCTATCTTGGTAAGTTTATAATTTGATCCAGTTGCTTTAGAATTGTGACATTGTGTGACTTCTTCTATTTTATTAATTTAGAATAGGTAATACTACTACTAATAAATATCTTCTTTTATATTTACTTAGTATAATAATAGTTTTATAGTAATATAGTACTAATATTCTATAGCAATTTGGTTGAGTATTCAGTAGTATATAAAGTAAGTGTTATAACAAGATTAATAATTATAAAATTAATTAATGTACAATTTTATTAAACAATAACAAGAAGCAATTTATTAACTAGCTAGATTTTGTATTGATTGATTGATGTCTTTTTCAAAGTTTCAATTGCATTTATTATAATAAATATTTTCCACTAGTAAATATTATATTTATGATTAATTATATAAAAATGATAATTTATAAAATTTGATTAATTAATATATATATAAAAACAATAAAAAATACAGAAATTATAGAATTTTTTATAGTTTTTGAAGTTTATAGAAATTATAAAAATTATAAAAATTATGGAAATTATAGGAATTATAAAAATTTTCAATCATAATAGTGTTAAAAATATTATTCAAATATAGAAGAATATATAGTTATATCATTCAAATAAATAACTATAAACTTGTTAATATATTCTCTAAATACAGTATTTTTAAGTCATTAAAAAGTAACAGATATATTTGTTAAGCCAAATAGTATAACATTAAATTCAAATAGACCTTGTTTAATAATGAATACAGTTTTAGATCTATCTTTTGATTTCATCTCTACTTGTCAATAGCCAGCAGTGAGATTAATATTTGAGAAGTATTTAGCACTTTGAAATATATTTAGAAGTTCATCAATATGAGATAGTGAATATCTATTTTTTTTAGTCATGTTATTCAATTATCAGTAGTCAATATATAAGTAATATTTTTTATTCTTCTTTTTAATAATGACAA